AAAAAAACTGACTGCAGAATGAATCTTACTAAAACTCCAGCACAGACCTAACTCGCCTCAGTCCCCGATGAAATTCAATGATCAACGTCTGGCCCTGTGTGTCTGACGAAAGAAAAAGGAAGCATCTCTGGCAAAAGATAGCCTTACCTAGCATCTCTGGTTCTTACAGTTCTTTTATCTACAATGTTCAGCATATAGTGCAAAACTGCAAGGAGATAAAATCATATGCAAAAAAGAGACAGTAGAAGCAGGTCTACAGATCACCCCAGTTCTGGAGTTAGTAACAAGGATTTTAAAATAACTCTGGTTAATAGGCTCAAGAAAATCGAGAAGGGATGAATTAAAGTGTGGAGATTTTCACCAGAAAACTAGGATCGTTAAAAAAAAAATGAAATGGAATTTTCTGGAGTGACGATAACATTCTAATCTTGAGTGGGTGTGGATTACACTGGTGTATGCATTTGTCAAACTCTGTATGCAGGTTTAAGCTTTGTGCATCAATGTATCAATTTTATCTTGAAAGAAACAAGCTGCCTGTGTCTTCCCCTCTCTCTGCCCCTCCCCCACTTCCTCTCTCTCTCTCTCTCTCTCTCACACTCTCTCTCTTTCTCTCTCTCTCTCTCAAGGGTAGACATAAAAAAAAAAAAACCCTAAAAAAAAAAAAAAAAAGGCAGGGATGCACCTAGGTGGCTCACTCTGTTAAGTGTCAGACTTCTGCTCAGGTCATGACTCATACACGGTTCTTGAGTTCGAGCCCCGTGTTGGGCTCGGTGCTGACAGCTCAGAGCCTGGAGCCTGCTTAGCAATCTGTGTCTCCCCCTCTCTCTGCCCCTCCCCTGCTGGCCCTCTGTCTCTCTGTCTCAAGAATAAACATTAAATATATACATATATTTATATATAATAAAAAAAGAAAGAAACAAGCTGCAAATATTGAAGTATAATTAGCGATGTGCATGCTGAAGTATTTAGGGACAAGTATGTGAATATTTGCCATTTGCTTTGACATGTACCCAGAAAAATAACACAGATTGAAGGGTAGATAGAGGGATGAATAGATAGATGTGCAAAAAATCAGAGTAAAATATACTAATGGTAGAAGCATCACAGATATTCACTGTATATTCTTTTCAACCTTGATTTATATTTAAATGCTTTCATAATAAAATATCGATGCAATTTAATAAGATATTATAAATATCAGTATGTGAAATAAAGTTGACAGTTTGGATGAAAGATGGACAATTTCCTCGAAAATTTAACTAATCCCCTATAGTGTTTTAAAATATTCCACAATTTTTTTTTTTGACACTCCTTTCAAAATGTGGAGCCTAATTTCCTTGAATATGGGCTGGATTTCATGGCTTCCTTCTACTGAATACGAAAAAAATAGAAACAGCCATTGTGACTTCAGAGGTGAGGTCACAAAAGGCAGCACAGCTTCCTATTTGTTCTCTCTCTTGGAGCATCTGCTCTGCGAAAACCAGCCGCCATGTTGCCCTGTAGAGAGGCCCACATGGTAAGAAACTAAGGCCTCTGCCAACACCTAACAAGGAACTGAGACTCCAGCCAGTAATCACTGGGCGAGCTTGGATTTGGATCCTCTAGTCCCACTGAAGGCTTTGGTTGCCTGCAACCCTAACTGACATCTTGACTATAACCTCATGAGAGACTTTGAATCAGAACAACCCAGCTAGGCTGCTCTTAAATTTCTGATCTACAGAATCTTTGAGATGAACTTTGGGCAACAAAGCCTTTCTAGAGAGCAGTATGATACCACTTAAGACAAGTTAAGTATATGCTGTCCTGAGACTTAAAGATTCTAAAAGCAAAGTGAGTGGTCATCAACAGGCAAATGAGGAGATAAAATGAAATAATATGCTTGCTGTTTTAAACCTTCACTTTTAGTACAGTTTTATTGCAGCAATAGAAAAGTAGTGCATTTAAGCTAGTAGAAGAGAGAACCGAAAATCTGAATAGTCAAATATTTATCAAGGAAACTGAGTCCATTAACTAAAACTTCACCACAAAGGAAACCCCAAGCCCACATGGCTTCACTAATAAATCTTCCGAATATTTAGTGGAGAGAACTGACATCAATCTTGCACAAACGTTCCCAGATAACAGATAAAGAAACACTTTCTAATTCGTTTAGTGAGGCCAGCATAATGTGCCAAAGCCCTCACAAGAAAGAAAAATTAAATCAAGCTTGCTCTTTTTCGTAAATATAAATGCAAAATCTTTAACAAAAGTTCAGCAAACTGAAACCACCCCAAAATTGAGGATATGATGTAGAGCAAAAGAAGCCAGACACACTGGGTGTTGTGTGTAAGTGATAAATCATGGGAATCTAACCCCAAAACCAAGAGCACCCTGTATACACTATATGTTAACCAACTCGACAATAAATTGTATTTAAAAAAAAAAAAGAAGGCAGACACAAAAGAATATATACATATGATTCCATTTCTAGAAAGTATAAAGAAGACAAAACTAATTTATACCATTAGAAGTAGGGGCGCCTGGGTGGCTCATTTAAGCGACCGACTTCAGCTCAGGTCATGATCTCACGGTTCGTGGGTTCGAGCCCCACATCGAGCTCTGTGCTGACAGCTTGGAGCTTGGAGCCTGCTTCGGATTCTGTGTCTCCCTCTCTGCCCCTGCCCCTCTCATGCGCGTGCTCTCTCTCTCTCTCTCTCTCTCTCTCTCTCTCTCTCTCTTTCAAAAATAAATAAACATTAAAAAATTAAAAAAAAAAAAGAAGTTAGCATAATGATTACCCTTTGGGAAATGATACTTAGGAAGAACTTCTGGTGGGGGTTGCACCTGGGTGGCTCAGTTGGTTAAGAGTCTGACTTCAGCTCAGGTCACTATCTCGTGCTTCATGGGTTCGAACCCCACGTCGAGCTCTGTGCTGACAGCTCAGAGCCTGGAGCCTGCTTCAATTTCTGTGCCTCCCTCTCTCTCTGCCCCTCCCCCGCTTGTGCTGTGTGTCTCGCTGTCTCTCAAAAATGAATAAACATTATTTTTTAAAAAAAGGAAGCATTTCTGGGGGTGTTAGTAAGGTTCTATTTTTTGATCAGAAGAAAGTTTATTGAACATTATGCTTATGATATATGCATATTAATGTATGTATATACTTCTCCAAAATGTAAACTGATTTAGGCAAAAGAAAATACATGCATACAAACCAATAATAAACATTGGCAAAAACACACATTATGAAAAGATTCAGAAATAGGAGTGTGGAAATACTAATGGGGAATAGGAAAGGATCTTTTCTCCTGTTCCCATGCCTGTCTCATTCCATTCAGCAAACACAGGGCAGCTCTAAATCAGAGTTGGCCTCTAACCTGGAGATGGAGAGAGAGGCAGGCCCAGTCTAAACATTTGTGAGCCCAGGAAAAACAGTTTAAATAGAAGGCCACATACCATATACCTATACATTTTAAAGTTATAGATCAAGCTAACAAACTGTTAAATAAAATATGTTCTGTCTGTCTGCCTTCACACACACACACACACACACACACACACACACACCCTTCATAATGATCAGGAATGCCAGTTTTGAATTTAGAATCCCCAGACTCCTCAGATCCCTTCTTCCCAAACCAGCTAAGTCCCACATTGCAAGAAGTCTCACGATTGCATGTGTGGGCATCCCACGACTTCTAAATTCTGTCCAAATCCCCACAACAAGCCATTTTTTAGGCCCAGGAGTGCACACCACCAGCATGATCTACCCTTGGGAGGATGAGGATGCACCTGAGGAAAAGACCTGTACAGGCCCTGGAAGCAGGATGGGGCCACCTGGAGGGGGAATCACAGTGTCTCAGGCACTAGAAGAGTGGTCTAGAGCAGGTGCATGTGCTCTGAAAGGTCACAGCTCCTTAGCCCCATGGACACTTAGCCTGTGAGAAGGATTCAGCCAGAGGCAGCCAGTGTGAAGACCAAGGTCAGGGCCTCTTTTTGCCAAGTCTAGAAGTAGCACCAGAGACAAGAGTAAGTACCCTGTGCTTTTCCACCCACCCAACTCCACCAAACTGAAATAGAGCTGACATTTGCTCTACACTTTATACTTTGCAAAGCACCTTCGCATACAATACTCTTAGTCAATCCTCACAAGCTTATAAGATTACAACGTAAGATCATTTGATAGAGGAGAACACTGAGCCAAAAGTGACTTGCCTGAAGTCAAGCAATAAAGAAATGAGTACTGCTAGGTCTCCAGTGGGAGACTTTTCCCTGCAAATTTTAAAGGTCCTATTCTTTCCACTATTCAATACTGCCACCCATCTCCCAGCTTCCTAGAGATTCAAAGGGGGCTAAAAAAAAACAAAACAAACAAACAAAAATGTAAATATGCATAAATTGTAAATATGTGGCTGAAACATTGTAGGAAAAGACCAGAGGCCGGGAAGGAAATTTAACAGCAAATATAGAGTAGTTTCTGGGAAAGATTCTGGGCCCAAAGCAAAAATCACCAGCAAGACAAAGAATACTATGTAAGAGCAACAATCCTAGCTGGGTGTTGGGGGCTCCTCTCCCACGCAGACCGCAAAATGAGGGCCTTCACCACATTTAAGCAATCTCCACCCAAATTCCACACCAATTACATGGGGGGGCCCTGGCTCCACAACTCTCCTTCTCTCCACCACCCCACCAAAAATACTTTATTAATGAGAGGGCAGCATAAAGCCACGGGACTCCATGTGCTCAGGGACAGCCCAGAGAGAGCGGCCTGGCACCAGCCCCAGCTGAAGCCCGACCCTCCTCCAGTGAGGACCCGCTAAGCTATGCCTCCCTCTAATTACCAGATGCCTGGCTCAGGGCCTGGCCAGTTATTTAGAGAACCAGTGCCTGCTCCTCGCACAGATCTCCGTGAGGCTGGGGCCACAGGCACTGTCTACTCAAAGCCAGCTGCCTGAAGCTGCCATCTCCCCACACCGCGGTCCTGGGACCCTTCCTGCGGCCTCTGCACCCCAAAGGTCAGCGGCACCATGTCACTCGCACACACAGCTGCAGAGTACATGCTATCAGATGCCCTGCTGCCCGACCGTAGGGGACCCCGCCTCAAAGGACTGCACCTGGAACTTCCCCTGGACCGCATGGTCAAGTTCATAGCTGTGGGCTTCCCCTTGTTGCTGATGTCCCTAGCATTTGCCCAGGAGTTCTCTTCCGGTAAGTAGCCTCCAAGACCCAGTGTATGAGAGACCCCACTTTGTTTCACTCTTTGCATGGACTCCGAAATGGCTCCCATATTGTCCAGGTGTCATGACTTTGGCCTGGGCATTACCCAAAAAGCAGACTATGCATGAATTTAGGGCACCAGCAGAGCAGAGGCACCAAAAATTTTGAAAACCATTTCCGAACTTTTGTAGTAAAAATATGTAGCTTTAATTTCGGTATTAGTATATTTTATGTCACTGCAATAATTAAACTTTTATTTTGATTTTCATATGGATCTAGAGAGATCAGGGCTCCATAATCTTTTCAGGACCTAGGACCGCTAAAGGTCTTAGTTGGCCATGCTTTAGATGAGTCTCTTACTGTCTCAGAGCCTTCTGCCTACTCTCCACCTCCAGGGTTTCTGATTTAAGGACATATGTTAAAAGACTGACATATCATAGGTGCTAAATAAATCCATTCCTTCTTTCCCACAGCCCGTGGCCACACACACACACACACACACACACACACACACATTAACAAACACACAGACCTGGTGTTCTAGGCACTAGATTAATTCTGCAAATTTCCTACCTCTATTAAAGAAAAGGTGGACTTCCTGAGGATTGGGATTTCTGGCTTTCTTTTCTGGCTATACGATTAGCTTACTGTTTCCCAAAGAGGTCTGTCAACCTCCCACTGCCTCTTCGTTCCCCCACAAGATGGAGAGAACCCTTGGTTCCCCCTTCCACCTCTCTCTGGAGAATCATGGAAAAACAAAACTCTCCCTCCGAGCCCCTTCCCTTTCAGGACCTCCTGCTCACCCTTTCCCTTGATTGGGCTCAGAAACAGGCCATTAATCCTCTAAATTTTAGAACCTAAAAGATGCCAGTTCTCTCAGGAAGGAGAAGTCACCACCAAAACCACAGGAGTGTGGGGCGCCCCTGCTGCCCGCGTGTCTGGGACTCCAAGGGAAGCTTTGAGAGGGAAGAACCCACGTCAAAGGGGAGCCAGTGCATTGAGGGAGCTGAGCCAAACAGGCCTATGGTGACGCTGCAGTGCACAACCTGAAACTGGGGCCTGGGAATCAGAAAGTGCCTGCCAGATAAAAAAAAAAAACTGGCGGAGCTCTGGAGGCATCCCCTGGAAGGCTCTCAGCTGACAGTCCTCTGGGTCCCCATTCCTCCACTCCCAACTCCAGGCTGCCTCCAAGCTGTGTTCTTATTCCAGGGCCCCCCATCCGATGCTTCTCTCCCAGTAACTTCAGCATCCGGCAGGCCGCCTACGTGGACGGTTCCTGCTGGGACTCACTTATTCACCACGAACAGGATGAGCTTGGCCAGAACAAGATGAAATCCCTGTGGCCTCACAAGGTAAAGTAAGCTGGGCTCCATCAGGCTGCTTTGTGGCAGGGTGGAGCAGGCTAGAACCACATCATTATCTTCTCTCTTGCCTCTTTGCCACCCCACCCCATTTTTTTTTTTTTCTTTTGTCATTGACTTTCATGTTTCTGCAAATGTCTGGTGATCTTTGGTTGCCCACTTTTATCTGATTGGAAGCTTTGTGCCTATGGGTGAGGCTGGCTGACCAGCAGCCTTCTGTTTACAGTGAACCCTTCAGGCCATTTCACTGGGAAAACCTCAAATACCGGTATCTGTAATCCTTTCTCTTGGGCTGATTCCCAAAAAGCATCACTGGATCGTTAATTGTGTGGATCCAGGGTGGCAGTTGGTATTAAACTCGGTTACCAACACTCTAGGGACTCAACTGTGGGTCTCAGCACTCAGTATTCACTCAACTAACATGGTTCTCAAGTTTGTTCCCCTGCCCTCAAAGGACCCAAGTGCAGAAACTCTTTGGTTTAATGTTTCCAAAGCGCAAACCACAGGCGGATTGATTCTGCCGGCAGATGGAAAGGGCAGTCGCTTGACAAGTGCATCATATTATAGGGAAGATCTGTGGGCCTGTTGTTTCAATATTCCTGTTTGCAACCCCACCTGTACCCCCATTTTCAGACACACCTCATATCTGCAACTCTTGAGTCTTTCTGGTTCTGTGGTGCAAAAACAGCTTGCTTGGTCTGCCTCAACTCCCATCTCCCTACCCCCCCAAACAGGCTGCTGTTTTCTAGCAGACGACTGCCTTCCAGTTTGCAACACTTTCTTGCTCTTGTCTCCCGTTTTCCTTGTCCTTGGAGAATTATGTCTTTTTTATCCCTTTAGTGCCATGCTAGTGGGGCTTCATGAGGGAGCAGAAGTCACGTGTGTGTCCAATTCACAATGTTGAACTGGAAGTCACTGGTGACATTTTTAAGTTATGACAATTTACAAGGCCTCAAAAGGCCACACAGGTCTGGGACCCAGGCAAAACTACAGACTTAATGGAAAGAGTTCATGGGGTGTCTGTCAGTGGAAGTGTTCAAACAGGATCCAGATGGCAACAAGGGCAAGATACTGCAGAGGGGATTCAAATGTGAAAAGAGTCAAACTGTCTGACCGCCAGGATTGCCTGAGAGCTCTTTAAACCCAGATTCTCTGGTTCCACTTCAAACCTACTGGAACAGAATCTCTGGGGGTGATGCTTATCTTCAAGAAATGCCATGTCTTAGAACAGGAATGAAAAGGTTCTAATTTTTCTCCTGGATTAGTATAGTTTTCCTAACATGTCTCTCGTGTTTAGTTCAGAAACACACACACACACACACACACACACACACACACACACACACACTTTCTTCCATCTAGCTGCAACCAAATATGCATCCTCCCTCTTTTTCTTCAAATTCTCCTCCAAAATAAAAGGCAACCGTTGTTCAGGAGAAGCTACAGTCAAGTAGTTCTTATGAGCTCCTAAATCAGACTGCCTAGTTCCTGATCCTGCTCAGCCATCCACGAGACGTATAACCCTGTACAGCTTACTTAACCTTTTCATGCCTCAATTTTCTTATCTGTAAAATAGAGATACTAATAGTACCTACCTGATAGCATCTTTGTGAAGAGCAAATGAAATAATGCATGTCAAGCACCTGGCACAAATGAGCTTAAAAAGCCTTTAACAAGTTGAGTTTTATGGGGCGCCTGGGTGGCTCAGTCGGTTAAGCGTCCAACTTCAGCTCAGGTCACGATCTCACGGTCCGTGAGTTCGAGCCCCGCGTCGGGCTCTGGGCTGATGGCTCAGAGCCTGAAGCCTGCTTCCGATTCTGTGTCTCCCTCTCTCTCTGCCCCTCCCCCGTTCATGCTCTGTCTCTCACTATCTCAAAAATAAAAACGTTAAAAAAATTTTTAAAAAAACAAAACAAGTTGAGTTTTTACTGTGGGTAACATAGCAGCCCAGCCCCTGTTGGGTGTGGTAGGGAAAAGTCCCTTACCTCAGGTGGTAAATTGTGTAGTTGAGGACACAAGACTCATCCATTCGTCAACGTCAGCTTGTATACATACTGAACAGGAATAGCCCCAAAGTCTTCCAAGACAGTGCCTGGTGGTGTCGTTTGGCATGGCCACAAATGCAGAGATGAAAACACAACTGCACACGAGAGGAACCGGGGAAGGCAGCGTGGAGGCTATGGGATTTGATCCCCTCTCTGGAGGGTCTAAGCCAAAGTCAGCCATGTTGAGGCCCCTGACTGGACTTTGAAAGCTAACAGACTCTGGGTGTCTGGCGATAAGAACTTGGAGGAGTCAAAGAAAGGGAGATGGAAGATTAAGAAGGCGGACACTCTCCCCTAGGATGTGATGCCATGACCACTGCTGGCCATGGTCTCTGCTTAGCGACCCAGGCTAACATGCATGGGGAACGGAGGGACTCTTGTGGTTCTGTATCGCTCTCCCCCACCTTCTGTCTCCCTCTTTCCCTCCTTATATCCCTCTCCCTCCCCTTGTCCTCCCTGGGCTCCTACATACCTACACAGACCCCAGATCTGAGGAGTGCAGCTGGGGAACATGGAGCTTCAGCAAACCTTCTCCTCTGGGCTTCAACATACTCAGCCAGGTCAGTAGACAGCCTTACGTCCTGGGCCTGTGGTGGCTCATTCCCCCCACCGCCTTCCTTCCCCGACACAGGAAGCAGGGAATGAGAGCCCCTCTCTCAGAGCTCTCTCTACACACTGGGGCCCCCTCCTCAGCTCACTCTCACCCCACAGGCCCTGCCCTACTCCCTGCTGGCCTTGGCTGTGGTCATGTACCTGCCTGTTCTGCTGTGGCAATATGCAGCCCAGCCGGCCCTCAGCTCGGATCTGCTCTTCATCATCAGCGAACTGGACAAATCCTACAATCGTTCCATCCGCCTGGTGCAGCACATGTTGAAGATCCGGCAGAAAAGCTCAGACCCCCATGTTTTCTGGGATGAGCTGGAGAAGTGAGTTGTCTCTCCCACCCATTTCTGAAGGCCTCAGTTGAGCGTTAACATGGCGTGCAGGGTCATCGTCAAACTATCCTCTGTACTGTCCTTCTCATGAACCCAAAGAGTTTAACACACCATCTCACTAACTTTCCATCATTTCTGTACAGGGAGGACAGAAAGGACTCTTCCTTAGTTTATAGATGAACATCCTGCGTCACAAAGGGGTTAATCTCTCTAATGTACCACTTTTGTATACCATTCCCCTGCTCAGAACCTCCCCCCATGCCTGCAGGAAAAAACCCAAATTCTCCCACATATTTTCCCAAGGCCCTCTACTTTTTCACACCTCTGACCACCAAGTGACAGAAACCTCCCACTTTACCAAGGCAGTCTCCTCCTCTTCTCCTGATTAGCCATTCATGCCTAATTTGCTGTGGCCCTGGCACTGTTCTGGGTGCTCCAGACCCATCAGTGTGCCTTGTGTGTGTCAGAGGCAGGGGTGGGGAGGGGACAAAGGTATACCTACCCATATAGGGACTCACATTCTACGGAGGGGAAACAGACAACAAATAAACACAACACATAGCAAATCATATGGCAGAAGATAAGTGGTATGGGAGCGGGGGAGCAAAGCCAAGTATGGGGGTCAGGAAAGCTGCAAGGTTGTGGAGTGGTGCCATTTTAAATAGGGCAGCCAAGGTAGGCTCCACCAACAGGAGCGTTGAACTGAGATTTGGAAGCATATTCTGTCTTGTGTGTGTGCACATTCTCTATCCTCTGAAAAACGTTCCTCTCCTGTGTGTCTTTCTGAACTCCATCCACCTCTCCATCCAGCTCCAAGACAATATTCTCCATAAAGGTTTCTGAACACTCCAGCCCATGCTGGTAACTCTCTCCTAACTTGTACAACACCGTGGTTTGTATCCACCATTTTAGCAACAAATCAAGCACTACTATTATTTCCTGTTGGCCTACCTTATCGGCCCCTTCCCCACAAGGCAGCCTGTAAGCTCCTTCAGAGCAGAGACTGGCTTACATGTGCCTGAACACCACAGCTCTCAACAAATATTTGTTAGCATGTTTATTTTCATAAAATGGGTGGGTCGGCCTGAAAATCATACACACAGTATACAGACCAAGCACCAGAACGTGGTTATTTAGACTCCCCATCCAGTGCTAATTTAATACGCTTATTGCTTCCTAAGGATCCTGTTTTGGCTTACAGGTTTAGTCTGCACGGCTGGGCAGAAATCCAGTGTGGCCATTTGTTATTCACTGATCATTCCCTGGGTTGACCACATTGCACTCATCAGCTGGAAAATTAAGACATACTCACAAGTCTCTTTAGGGAGAGGGGTGGTTATGCTCCAGGAAGGCAGACTTTCATGTGAGCCAAGAATGCCACGTGGCATACACAGATTCCATTACTGCCCCACGTGGCTCTCTCAGACATGGTTCCAAATGGTCTCTCCTCACCCTGCCTCCTTTCTTCCCCTGCCCAGGGCTCGGAAAGAACGATACTTTGAATTCCCCTTGCTAGAGCGGTACCTGGCCTGTAAGCAGCGCTCACATTCCCTGGTGGCCACCTACCTCCTGAGGAACTCCCTCCTGCTCCTCTTCACCTCAGCCATCTACCTGTACCTTTGCCACTTCCACCTGGATGTCTTCTTCCAAGAGGAATTCAGCTGTTCCATCAAGACAGGCCTCCTAAGTGATGAGACCCACGTGCCCCATCTGATCACATGCAGGCTGACCTCTCTGTCCATTTTGCAAATTGTTAGTCTCTCCAGTTTAACAATATACACCCTATTGGTTCCGGTGATAATATACAACCTCACACGACTATGTCGGTGGGACAAACGGCTCCTATCCATCTATGAGATGCTGCCAGCTTTCGATCTCCTCAGCAGAAAGATGCTGGGATGCCCCATCAATGATCTCAATGTGATCCTCCTTTTCCTCCGAGCCAACATCTCTGAACTCAACTCTTTTAGTTGGTTGAGTGTCTTATGTGTTTTGAAGGACACGACCACCCAGAAGCACAACATTGACACAGTGGTCGATTTCATGACATTATTGGCTGGCTTAGAACCCACAAAACCTAAACATCTCACCCAAAGGGTGTGTGATGAAAACCCCTAGTTAAAAAACCGTGGAGCAAGAAATTTTATGGAAAGTAAAAATCTCTCTCCTTCTTCACAAGCCTCACACACTAAGGTACAAAAATACCCGCTTTAGAAATGCTAAGTGTGGATTCAGCTGAATCACATCCTGTATCATGTTTTCCTAAAGGTGAGAAGATAAAATCAACGCATGAAAACAAATCTGAAAGTTAGAGCTGAAGAGTCAAAGAACTAAAAAATTAGATCTAGAGCATTCTATGAGGATAGGGGGGGAAAAAAAACACCTAAAACTCAACTGAAGTCTAGACATTCTATAAGGAAAGAAGGTGCTAAAGGCTATTTATGGAGGCAGGTTCTTTTCAGTATATGCACTCCATTGCCCTTCTGGAATGCACGCTCAGCTCAACCCAAAGAGCAAAAGGGCAATCTGTTAAGTGAATAAAAATGTGAAATGCTTCAGGTGTGGCCTGAAATCCTAGGAACTTGCCAGCTGGCTTTGTGGAAGTCATTGACCTTGCCCAGGTCCTGTGTGGCCTGCCGAGTGGGATAGAAGACAATGATGGCAGGACCTTGTTATCTGCTTTTGGGGGTTAGGCCAGCATAGAACGAGGCCGGGGCCATGCATCAGCTAGGGGTGGAGCTCTGGGTTTTCTTCATCATCTAAACCAGGGACCACTTCACCAAGGGCTGGGATTATGGGCTTCTTCACAACTCTTGAGGGGCCCAGGCGTGCTTCGAATACTCCAGGAGATGCCACACCTCTTCCACTTACAGCCAGTCACTGAATAGTGACCATTAGAACTAAATGGGAAAGACAGGAAAGTGCTGTTGGGCCCTTTCTCTCTCTTCTTTATTACCCCCTCTTAGCTTCTAACTTCCATTCCTGCATCTGAATTTAATGGAACCTTGATCTGACTTCTGAGGCCCTGCCCAGCCCACAATACCATGCTGTCTCTCATTTGATATTTCATTTATAGAGCTGCCTATTTCTTCAGAGAATTTTTGTATGCACCATTTAGACCCTTCTTCATATAGGTAAGCAGAAAAATTACATTGCTCCCATGCTTCTCACAACGCTGAGCCTTTGAATATGCTGTTTCACTGCCCAAGATGCCCTCCCCTGTTCTTCACTGGCTGTCCACCAGCTCTCCTTCTGAGTCTGCCCAGACATATTTCCTGCAAGAAGGCTTCCCTATCTCCTCCCCTCTTCCCTAATTATGTGCTGCCATATCATTCAATACACACCTCTGAGATAAAAATTCTTACACTGTATGAATATTGCCCACTCATTTGCCTTTTCCTCTTTAACAAGTTTCCTAAAGGTTGTATCATAGTGGGCACTAAATAAGTATTAATCTGAATAAGTAATTGACTGAATTTTGCTCAACCACGTTACATTGTTTGGAGCACACAGACCCAGCCCCTAAATAATCTTGTATAAAAAAAGCTTTGTGGGGCACTTGGCTGGCTCAGTCGACTGAGTGTCTGACTTCAGCTCAGGTCATGATCTCGCAGTTTGTGAGTTCAAGCTCCGCATCAGGCTCCATGCTGACAGCTCGGAGCCTGGAGCCTGCTTCGGATTCTGTGTCTCTCGCTCTCTGCCCCTCCCCCACTCGCACTCTGTACCTCTCTCTCAAAAATAAACATTAATAAAAACTTTGTGCACAGAGATGCACTCCACAGCAATTGCTGAGCAAAAAGCCAAACAACATGGAAGTAATCATGTAAAATTATTATGCCGTAACTGGAATATTAAGCATTCATTTAAAATTATGTTTATGCTCCCGCTCTGTCTCTGTCTCTCAAAAAAAGAATAAACATTAATAAAAAAAGTTGTAATTATGCTTATAAGGAAATCATAATAACACCACAAAATGATAATAAAGGTCAGTGAACAACAAGGAAACATCTAACATATATGAAAATGCATGAAGGTATTAAACACATACAAACGTTAAAAGTGGCTCTCCTTCACTGGGTGTTGTACGGAAACCAATTTGACAATCAATTTCATATACTGAAAAAAATGAAAATAAAAAATAAAATAAAAGTGGCTCACCTTATGTGGCAACATTATGGATTTTTTAAAAAATCTTCTTTGTACTATATTTTCTAAATTTCTAAAACTTGCCCAAAATGCTTTATAAATTGTAAGGAAACGTTTCTACTGAAGAAAAAGTCATATTGTAATGCAAATTCCACTGAAATCCATTGGCTAGAGCAGCTTGAAAACTAAAGGAATGAACACACTTTCCCTCCCCCTAGGTATGAAACCTGTATATGAAAAGGAACAATGAAAATAAAGTCAGATCACAAAGCCTGCAAAGACAAAATACAGATGAACGGCAAATAAGTCACACAGTTGGCAAATAGGGTTTTTTTTTTTAATTTTTTTTAAATTTTTTTTTCAACGTTTTTATTTATTTTTGGGACAGAGAGAGACAGAGCGCGAACGGGGGAGGGGCAGAGAGAGAGGGAGACACAGAATCGGAAACAGGCTCCAGGCTCCGAGCCATCAGCCCAGAGCCTGATGCGGGGCTGGAACTCACGGACCGCGAGATCGTGACCTGGTTGAAGTCGGACGCTCAACCGACTGCGCCACCCAGGCGCCCCCTTTTTTTTTTTTTTTTTAATTTTTTTTTCAACGTTTTTATTTGTTTTTGGGACAGAGAGAGACAGAGCACGAACGGGGGAGGGGCAGAGAGAGAGGGAGACACAGAATCGGAATTTTAATTTTTTAAATGTTTATTTATTTTTGAGAGAGAGACAGAGCGTAAACGGGGGAGGGGCAGAGACAGAGGGAGACAAAGAATCTGAAGCAGGCTGTAGGCTCCAAACTCTGAGCTGTCAGCACATAGCCGGATGCAGGGCTCCAACGATGCAGGGTGAGACCATGACCTGAGCCCAAGTCAGAGGCTTAACCCATCAAGCGACTATTTGCAGGCGCCCCTGCAAATAGGTTTAAAAAAAAAAAAAAATCTCTTCCTGTCACTCAATTATCTTTTCCCAGGTTCCAAGAGCCAACCTATACTAGCAAAGACATGATTGTGGATATTTGATTGTGGATATTTTGTGGGCAGAAAATATTCCTGGCAGTTTCCAAAAATGTATCTATTATGGCTGCCTTGAGTATGGCTGTGAAAGCACACTGGCATCCTGAAGAGTTGCTCTGTGAAAACTCAGCCACATGCACCAAGGGCAGCTTTCATTATGGAAGGATATGAAAGAACTTTCATAAGACTTCTGTGTGAAAACTATTTTGTCTTGACCCTGTCACTATTTTTACAATAATCAGAAATGAAATAGCTGGGTCATCAATTTGAAACCTTTTTTTGAACTCTGATTGTTACTTACACACATTAGTATTACATTTTTCTCCAGTAATTCACTGAATTTGTTTTAACTATGTACATACTTTCTTTAATTTCCATATACAACTCCAGAAGTCCACATTTTGACTGTCTAACGGTAATTATATTTTACACCAGTTTAGAACCCTCACTAGCCTCCCTTATTCTAAATAGTATATTCAGTTTTCAACGGAAAAACCTGTGACACACAGGCTTATTCAGCTAGTTAGTCGCATTGCTGGAATAAGAATACAACAAGCCTTTTGAGCATCCAACTCCTGACTTTGGCTAAGGCCGCGATCTCACGGTTCATGAATTGGAGCCCAACTTCGGGCTCCGTGCTGACAGTGCTGACTGAGCCTGCTTGGGATTCTCTCTACCTTCTCTCTGCCTCTCTCTCAAAAATAAACTTTAAAAAAAAAAATACAAGCGTTTTGTCTTCCAGACCTGAGCATTTACCAGCACTGCCTCCTAAAAATTGCCTACCCTCCTTATTTGAGGATTTTAGATAGACCTTGGTTACAAAGTTAGCGCCAAGTTAATATAGGTAGAGGTCCAGAAACATACTTTTGGTTTCATCAGGGAAACATTTACTGAGTGCCTACTTAGTGCTAGCTCGTTATTAAAACTCTTCTCTTCCCTATTTGAGCCTAACTTGAAGGGGCAGAAGCCTTTTTTCTAGTCACCAGTGTTGTCCCAGATCCTAGTTAAATCTCGGCCTCATAGGCTTTCGGGAAACCTTTATGCGAGCTGTATACTGGAAAGCCGCAGTCCCAACACAGGCTTTCAAGTGCGTCCCACATTTCGGGAAGACCCGTTAGCGAGTGTGGAAAACTGGAGCTGAAACGCGGTGGGCTGGGGGAGCGTGTGGGAGATTCGCGCCGGCAAGATTTCGGGGCTTTTAGCCGTTAGCTCCACAGTAATACTCCTCAGCTAAGGACACAGCAGCGAAACACCGAGTCTGCTCTTCGGTCGCCTGCACCCGCCCCTCCCTGCTCCAGACCGCAGATCTGCACATCCCAGACCACCCCAGGCTCACGGCCCCGGAAGTTACTCGCGGCCGGCGCTGTTACGTAACTTCCGGGCGGGGCTTACTTCCGAGGCAGACGCGGAAGTGCTGGGAGGCCCGGTGGCCGAGGTCGGTTGCCGGACTTTTGGCCCGGCCTTTCGCCTTGGGAAAGTTCTGGAGGGGTAGATTCCTAAGAAGCCGGCTTCCGGCAACCCAGACGAGACGAAGCCGACGCTCCTCGGCCTGGGAGCCGATGCCGGCCGCGCCCTGGAGGCCCCGTAGCGGGGCCGGACGATGAGCCTGCTGGGCGGCCCGGCCTCCTCGCCGCGGGCCCCGCTGCAGTCCAGCAAGGCCAGGATGAAAAAGCTCCCGAAGAAGAGCCAGAACGAGAAGTACCGGCTCAAGTACCTGCGGCTGCGCAAAGCGGCCAAAGCCACCGTGTTTGTGAGTCAGAGTGTCGCTCGGCCCTTCTCCGCCTCGACACTCCTAATTCGCGAAATCTTTCCCCACACCGTTCCCCTCCCAGAGTGGCCGAATCAGTAGTGTTAGCTTTTGCAGTACACGTTACTTCTCGTTAGCCTTGTGTCCTTGGGCACCTTAGCTAATTTCTGTACTCTTCTGTTTCCTGAAGAGAGCTAACTGCCTTTCAGAGTCGTGAAGATTTAATTGAGAAAAGTAAAGTGCTTGACATCTGGAAGATGTGCCAGTCGGTTTCAGTCATCGTTCTTACCACGAAACTCTTGGAAAAGCGTTTGATTCTCAAGAGAACCCTAGAGTTAGGCACTGTTTTTAAAAATGGCATCACCGAAACCCCAAGAGATGACTTATGCAAGGGCGCTGTGTCCCAGCCCTGATTCCTGGTCCTAGTGTCTTCAATACTTCGACTACACAGCCTTATTTCCCAAGCACCCCAAATCCGCATAACAGACCTCTGCCCTAAACAGGCTCACAAAACTTTCAATAATTCCCCCCACCCCCGCCCCCCTCTAACCTCTCTAGTCTCTCAAATATTTCTGCTGTTCTTTTATTGTAGAGGCACTGAATTCATTGAATAAGTGAACTGACCTGCCAGCCACAACTTTGTGTTCTGGCGTTCT